AGTGGCAATACAGGGAGGGTGGAGAGAGGGTGGGGTAGAAAGGGGGAACTGATTATAAGGATCTACATATAACCTCCTCCCTGGGGGATGGACAATAGAGATGTGGGTGAAGGGAGACATTAGACAGTGTAAGATATGACAAAATAATAATTTATGAGTTATGAAGGGTTTATGAGGGGGGAGTGGGGAGAGAGGTGGAAAAAATGAGGAGCTGATATTAAGAGCTCAAGTAGAAAGCAAATGTTTTGAGAATAAGGATGGCAACAAATGTACAAATGTGCTTGACACAATGGATGGATGTATGGATTGTGGTAAGAATTGTACAAGCCCCCAATACAATGATTTAAAAAAACAACAAAAACAGAACAAACACACACAAAATAGGCATTGATTAGAGGATGTCATAACATTGTAATAACAGAGGATGAACTGGTGACCATGATTTGCTGACCAGCAGTGGATGTCATGGAAGCTCAGTCCACAGAAAGATATAAAGGCCATGATGGAAAGCTCTTGCAAGTCTCGGTATTCAATCACTAGGTGACACAAACATCATCATGTTCTTGAATCACGGGCGTAGGCAGTAAACTGTACTATTAAACACTAGATTGCAACTGCATGAATATTCATGCCTTAGATACAAAAAGTGGATTTTTTTTATCATTGCATTTCTGGGGTTGAGCAAACTCTCAAGCTGTTGTTAACTCAGAGCAGGTCAGTCTTTGGCACTCTAGGACAATGGCTATTCAGAGTAGCCGCTAGACGGTGCCAATAGACTCTTTCTCTTACCTGTGTCTTGGCGTTCTCGTTGGGTTTCTGAGACTCGGACTATGAATGTGAACATTTCCAGGGTAGCTTATTTTCCTGGTAGCTGCCCTCCATTCTTTATCAGGAAAAGATCATGAGGGTTGGAAAGGAATCCCAATACCATGAATGCTGGCTCCAGCTATGATCTACTAAGGGGATGAAGCCGAGGGTTCCTAAAACATTCTGAGGGGGGATTGGGTCTTTCCAAATGCTTGAAGAACCACTGGATTCCTTGCTTTAGTGGAGGAAATGGCTGCCAGAACCGGGACCATGATGTCCCCTAAATCTCCCCACAGGAAGTGTACATCTTTTGAAATGACCCCTGTTCCTTCTGCTCCACACCCTCATGGCACCCTAGCTCCACTCCCTCAAACCTCCTTCAAAGCAAGTTATTTAGGCATGAAGACACTTCCTAATGAACAACCCCTTGGCCTCTGGACCCAGAGTGGCCATGACATGCTTCCCCACACCACACACACACCTGTGCACACACTCTGGAGTGGGGGTTTCTCAGAGGACTCACCTGGGGTGTCATCCCATGGCAGAGGTACATAATAGGAACATTCTCCGTGTCTGGCCCCTGGTCAAGACACAAATCAGTCTTCAGGGAATTCTGCAGCTGAACACCAAAGGAGAGATGGCCATGCCAAAGAAAAAGAGACAGAGAAAGCAAATGCATGAATTCAGGAGAAACAAGCATTCCATAGAGACATACTCTCTCTCTATAATCCACCCAAGGCCCCTCGAACACTGTGGGAGACAATAAACACCAGCTTTCGCTTTGCCTTAGGAGCTGAGGGAAGTCTGGCCTCTGTGGAAGAGAAAACATTCATATCTAGTTAACCAGCAAGCTATATTTTGATAGCAGAGATGGAAGAAAAATAACACACACACACACACACACACACACACGATGCGGCTAGGCTGTGACCTTCCTTCATTTCCATAGGAGTGGCATGGTGGTCTTCTATAAGTCTATGCCTCTGGGAACAGGGGGTGTGAGGCAAAGTGTGTAACATCTGGTGGAAGAATACACCCAGGGGCCCAAGGAGCCATAGTTGGCAATGTCTGGCTCAAGTTCATTCTTAACTCTTGGAAAGTTCAGTCTAGTCCACATGGCCACGGTCACCAGTCTCCTGAGTAGACTATGGTGGGCATCCGTCCAGTTATTAATTAACTGTCTCTTTCTACCCCACCTTCTCTGCCCCTAGTCCTCTCTCTCTCTCTCTCTCTCCCCTCCTTGCCATTTAGGAGTCTACATGAGAAAAGTAGAGTTCCTGAGGAGGTGGCAGCCACTGGAGTCATGAACTCACATATCTAGGAGGCGAGGACCTGTTGGAACAAGTGTTAGCAGAGCCACCAGTTGTGATCAAGGAGATGTGGAGCAGACATGAGACTGCAAGACAGGAGAGATCACTGTGCCCCCTGTGGCTCCAGTGGCTTCCCAGCTGGGTACTCTCCCTGTGCAGCTACACTCCAGCCCCTGCAACCATAGAGTGCTGCAGTCTCTACCTCTTACCCCCCCTAACCTGAGTGAGCTGAAATGCCTGTCTCTCCTTCACAATCAAAAGAGATATGGTCCCAGAGATCAACTTTCCCCCAAACAGTAAACAAGCCTATAAAGCAAATAATAACACCAGGGAGGAACATGGTCTTCAGTACAATCAACCACAAAGGCCCAAATGGGCAGCATTTGCCCCCAAACAAAGCTCTAAACTCAGGAAGGAGGGGGAAAGAGGGATGCGTGGAGCCAAGGAACCCAGGGAGGAGGTGGAAAGAGTGCCGTTTCCCAGGGGGGCTAGGAAACAGGGAAGATAGGACAACGGACTGCAGGTGGGTCATCGACTGGGTAGGCGGCCAAGAGATGGACAGTGGCCAAGTGTTTGTAGTGTGGATGTCTGTGGCAAGCGTGGAGCGAACTCAATTCAGGGGCACTGGAGGGAACAGATAACCAGAGGCACGTGTGTGCCCTGCTCCGAACAGGGAACAAAGCCAAGTACTCTCCCGGAGCTTCTTTCCACTTCGAAGAGGGCGCAGCTTAATCCCCAATTTCAAGGCGTTCACCCCAGGCAGGGGCCCCACAAGCATCTGGGCTGCAGATCCTGCCCTGGACATGGGCTGCCGTGTGGCTTGCCTGCATGGGAGGGGTGAACACACAGGACGTCTGCCGAGGACAGAGGGGTGGGTGTCACATCCAAAGTCAGGAGCACAGTTCAACCATGAGGCCTGCTATTATTGCCAAGAGAAGGGCCAGAGGGACCGATGGCGGGCTTGCCTTTCCCCTGGCTTCAGAAGCTGCGCATCTGGGTGTGGGGCTAGGTGCCTGGTGATATGTGCTCTCTGGCTCCAGGCCACCTCTCCCCATCAAGCAGGTGGCCTATTGAAGTGGTGGAGACAGACTGGGATGGGATTCTGGCTCCAGCTGTGTGGTCTCGACCAGGCAACCTTAGCCCTGCTGGTCCGCTTCCTTCTCTCTAAACCAGGGATCATCACGGGGCCAGCCTCCCAGGGCTCATATGAGGATTAACTGAAACAATACTCACAAATGCTCAGCGCTGAGCCTGGCAAGTAGCAAATGAGCTATAATTGTGAGCTGCTATTATCAGGGCGCTACCCTTCCCGAGAGCCATTCCGGGAGACTGGCTTTCTGAGTGCATCTGTGTACCAGGTACCAGGTGAAGTGAATCCCAGGCATCATCTCGTCTAATCCACAAAATAACCCAGCCAGGTGGATGGTTTTAGCTCTTCAAGAGATGAAGAAACCTGGGTGGTAGCAGGCTCTGCCTCACCTCCCAGTGTGTAGTGCTGCCACTCCCTCGGTGAGGATGCTTCTCCAGCTGCTGTGGCCTCTCTTTGCCTGACTCCATCCTCCTCTTCCTCGGGGCCTCGGCTTATCCTACACTTTGGGGGCCTCCCTTCACCTGAGCCTGCCTAGGGGACCCACTCTAGGCTTCCCCAGCACCTCCCATTTTTCTTCCTTACTGTCATCGGGTCAATGCTGTCTCATAGCAACCCCGTGCGGGTTTCCAAGACTGGAACTGTGGACAGGGTTAGAGAGGCCAGTCTTTCTCCTGCCTTTTTTTCTGAGGTGAGCACTTATTAAAACGCTAACAGAAAACACTCCGGGCCGGTGGCCATTGAATTGATTCTGCCTCACGGTTCCCTTGAGGATGTCAGTATGGGACTGTGCTTTCTACCTGGTCTTCAAGGACTGCTTTTATCCGAGGTAGGTCACTAGTTCTGTCTTTCTTTATTCCTTTTTGTAAAAACATAATTCTATTTATTTTCCTCATAGTTGAGAATATACAGAGTAAAGCAGAGCCCTGTTCAGGTTGCAACAAATACCATCAAGTGACACTGGTTCCGTTTCTAAAACAGGGATGATCACAGCGCCGACCCCAGTAGGCTGGTAGGAGGATTAATGGCAAGAATTTCACCTTCCTACTTTGTAACCGTTCCTCCACCATGAACAGAAACTCACCGCCTGCTAAGGTTGCTACCTAATCTTTGGGGTCATTACCAATTTGATCCGAAATAGATCTTTTAAAAAGCAGACCTTCTTCTTCTTTTTTTTAACTCATTAACTTATTGTTTGATTTTTAGAAGACCTCGGGAGATACTTTGGGTTTAACGTAAGACGATGATGTCGGGCTATCATTTGAGGAACTTCTCCAAACATGATGGCTCCGGCATGTCTGGCGTCTCTGGGAACGTGGGGTCCTGTTTCTACATTTCCACCCTCTGATCAGGATTTTCCATGGACTCTGTGATGAACAGGCTCAGTAGCGGGGGCTGGGCACCATCCAGTCCGTCAGCTCTCAAGGCACAGGAGCCAATTGTTCATGGAGGCAACCAGTCACACAGTCAGGATCCTTCCCTGATCCCTGACTCTCTTTAGTTTCAGGAGAAGAGACAGCCATCATTGTGCCTGGCATGGAGACAGGCAAGCTCTCAAGATCCGAGGCACTACACCTGGAGCCAGGAGGTACAACAGAAACACTAAATGCTTACGCCTTTTTTTCTTTTTTCAAATTTGAACCATCAACCTTTCAGCTAGCAGTTGAGTGCATTAGCCATTTGTACCACTAAGGGATGGTCTTAATCTTCAGATTATCCAACAATGTTTGCAGCCGCACATTGACAGGGACCTGCCAGGAGTTCAGGCCAGATTCAGAAGAGGACATGGACCAAGGGATATCATATAACCAATGTCAGATGGATCTTGGCGCATAGTACAGAAGACTAGAAAGATGTCTACTTGTGTTTCATTGACTACGCCAAGGCATTTGACTGTGTGAGCCTTAATAAACTGTGGACACCCTTGAGAAGAATGGGGATTCTAGAATATTTCACTGTGCTCGTGTGAAACTTGTACGTGGATCAAGAGGCAGTTGTGTGAACAGAACCAGGGCAGATTGCATGGTTTAAAATCAGGAAAGATGGACATCAGGGCTGTGTGCTCTCACCGCAGTTGTTCACTCTGTGTGCTGGGCTATTCATAGAGAAGCTGGGTTTGATCAATAAGAATGTGGCATCAAGGTTGGAGGAAGGCTGATTAACAACCTGTGGTAGGCAGATGCTACTGAAAGTGAGGAGGGCTTGAACCATTTGCTGATGAAGATCAGGGATTGCAGCCTTCAGTATGGATGACAACTCAATGTAAAGAAGAGCAAAATCCTCACCACTGGACCAATAGCTAAGGGTTCTGTCTTACTTGGATCCACAATGAATGCTTATCGATAAAGCAAAGAAGGCATCGCACTGGGCAGACCCGATGCACTTCTTTAGAATACTGAAGAACGAGGACGTTACTTTGAGGATTAAGGCGAGACTGACTCAAGCCATTGTACTCTCCATTGCCTCATCTGCACGTGAAGGCTGGATAGTGAATAAGCAAGACCACTGACTAATCAATGCATTTGAATAGTGGCACTGGAGAGGAATATTGAAAGTACCAAGGACCGCTAAAAGGACAAACAGATGGGTGTTGGAAGAAGTAAAGCCAGAGTGTTCCTTAGAGGCAAGGATGGCAAGACTTCATCTTACGTACTTTGGACATATCGTCAGGAGAGACCAGTCCCTGGAGAGGACATCATGTTCGCAAAGGGGAGGGGTGGCGACAAAGACGAAGGCCCTTAACGAGATGGATGGACACAGTGGCTGCTATCCATAGGCTCAGGCATGGGAACAGTGGTGAGGATGGGACAGGACCGGGCAGGGTTTTGTACTGTTGGGCATAGGGTCGCTGTGGGTCAGAGCTGACTCGATGCCACCGAACAACGACAAGGACAATCATCACCACTGAGGGACGTCATCGTAGCCCTCAGCATAGTGCGTGCCTGCCTCTGCTTTTAGTCACTGGACTGCAAGTCAGTGCCTTTCTCACTGTGACGCAGCCGACGTGTCACATAGGCCCTGCTGGGTGCCATCGAGCGGATGCTAGTGACTTTAGTGGTCCAGAAGAGCTGCTCCAGTGACATTTTAGACTGTAATCTTTGTGGAAATGGATTGCCAGGTCTTTTTCCTGCTAGGCCCCTGGGGGTGGGGCATTTCTAAACCAAACTGGTTTAGCCACGGAGCACCTAACTGCTTGCTATTGGGGCCTACAGTCCATGGGAAAGACTTCTTGAATGAATGAATGATGAAAATGAGCAAGGGAATGGCATTCCCGAGGTCTCATAACCAGACAAATGGCAGAACTGTAGTCTGAGTCCATATCCCAGCCCTCTCCCTCAGGCATAAGGCTACAAGCCTGAGATCTTAAAAAGACGCCTTGTCCAGAGGCATGACTGGCACAGCAAAGGCTTGGCCAGTTGCCCGGGTTACACAGTGAATAAGTGGTAAAGCTAGCATTGCGAAGTCAAGCATGTCTGCCTCCAGATGCCGCCCCGTTTGAACTGCCAGCACCAGGACAAGACTTCTTCCAGTCACCCATCTCTGGGCATGCACTGCAGGGGTTCCGGGGATGCCCAGGCTCATACAACGGGACACACTGGCCCTTCTGCCTGCGGGGAGTCCTCCGTGGGATGTATTCGTGGATCAGTGGGCTGGGCGACTGACTAGATTCTTGCCTGGTTGTGAGTCCCAGGAGAAATTATTTCATTGAAATAATGTAGCGTGGGCATGAGTTGGAAAGAAAAAGGAACTTCTGCATTTGTGTGGATTTCAGGTTTCCTCCTTTCAGAATAAAGATCGTCATCAGGCAGAACAATTCCAGCACAGCAACTTTCTTGCCTTTTGCAGCTACACCCTGCAATGCATCTTCACCCAAATGACCCCATTAAGAGGTCATTATTCTCCTTACAAGCAAAGAGCTTATATAAGAACTCAGCCTGTGGAGGAAGGAGTGATGGAGGAGAGCAACGTTGGCAGGGCCGAGGCAGGGGCCAGAATAGCCCCTGGATGTACAGGGGCTCTGAGTCCTCCACAACCCCAGGGAATGTCCCCCCTTGAGGCCTGTGGGATGGTGAGGACACTGCCTTCCAGTGGGACACTGGACTCAGACCGATCTAAACCGCAGTTCTGCGCATGCCCTCATGACCTGATCAACCAAAGGTTTGGGTGTGCCACCGAGGGGGCCACCTGGGCATGTTTGGGTGATTCTGCCCAGCTGCAGTTGACCGTGGCAGAGAACATGATTCTGAACATTTGCTGTGACTCACTGTGTCTTTGAGGCAATGCTTTCTCGGCAGCCTGTCGCATAACTCCCCGTTTTAGATGACGTCCATCACTGGCCATGTCACACACACAGTGAGTTATGGGACAAGGTGGGGGCATCAGCAGCAGCTTTATCCTCAGGTTGTTTCTGGGGAGGGAGAGGGGGCTAGCAGACACTCCTCAGTCCAGTGCGTTTCCATGGTGATGAGAGGATCTGGAACTTCAGAGAGTAGCCAGGTAGCCTCAGCTGAGCAGTTTTCCAGACGTACAAATTGCACCAACCTGAGAACAAGCAGGAGCTACAAGAGATTCCGGGGTAGCTCTCTCAGGATGTGCCAGCCGTGTGCCCTCTCAGGAGAGTGTGTGCACTCTCCTGGGACCATAGGCCCTCCTCCTCCAAGCTGGCCTCCTGGACAACAGAGGTCCTGGGGGTTCATGGATCCCGGCTCTGTCTCCCGTGGACTCCCAGGATGTTAGTGTTGGGAAGCCCAGGAGAACACTGAGTCGGCCCACTTTGGGCCAGTGCCTCATTCCTTATGCTCGCTGTGGCAGGAGCCTTAGTTGTTCCCCTAGACTCATGCCTTGGATGATTGAAAACAATCTGAGGGGACACTCTCCCAAGAGAGGAATCAGAAGTAGGTGTTTTAGACTCCATTCCACTGTTTATTAGCTGTGGGTGGTCCACATGGTTAAGCTAATCAGATCATTGGTGATTCAGATCTCCTTCTGCAAACGGCCCATTGAAGATGCTGTGAAGCACAGTTCGATTATGATACACATGGGGTTTCCAGGAGTTAGAACTGGCATTCACAATTGTTTTATTATTATTATTGTGATTTATTTTAACATGGGGGTTCACTTTGCCTCTGTGTTTCATTTCGTATCTGTAAAGGGAATAAACTAGGTAACCCTAAAGGGTCATTTTAAGGATTCAGCTGTAAGTAAAACAAAAACAAAAACTGCAGGTATTAAGACTGTATCCCTCATTGCCACTGAGTCCATTCTGACTCATGGCAACCCCGCAGCACAGAGTAGACCTGCTCTTGTAAGTTTCCGAGACTGTAACTCTTTACAGGAGCAGAAGGCCCCGGCTTTCTCTTGGGTAGGGCTGTCAGTCAGTCCAAATCAGGTCAGATAAAAAAATAATCACTTAAATACCTTAAGAAGTATATGGCCCGAGGAATAAGAACATAACAGTAGTTCGATTGAAATTATTTGAACCCGAGACAGAAAATACATTTATGTATCTGAGACTTTCTTTTACCTTCTGAGAACACCATTCTTCTGCCCTGTTTAACATAGGAAGAAATCAAGGCTCATAAAAGTTCAGACACATGCCTGGGAAGTTGCATGGTCATGATTTGAATCAAGCCTGTCTGACTCCAAACCCTGTTGATGTGCCTCCCACCAGGGAGAACTGCTTCCTGCCCACCACGAAGTGCTCCTAATGATCCCTTAAAGATATAGCAAGCTCAAGAACATTACATGTCTCAGGAGTCCCTCCAGAGAGGCTCTGACTGGGGTTAGAAGGCATAAGCCCTTGTGTGGGAGGCGCATGTGAGGTGGGTCACAGGAAGCGCTTTACTATACTGCCTGGCCGTTTTAAGCTAGCTGCAGTCCCGGCTCCGGCCCTCGAAGTCTAGGACAGAATGTGTTTGGGACACCCAGGCACAGGCACACCCCGATGACTGCATACAAGGCACAGAGATGGAGCAAGAGAACAGAGCAGCCTGGGTTGGGAGAGCAAAGGTTGCTGCCTCACCCCTCCATGCACCGGCTGCGGGGCCCACACGTCCCCAGGTGGCAGGCTGAGAGGGTCGCTATCTGCTGTCTCCTTACTCTCTGAGTCTCCCTCTCGCCTTCCTTTCTGTCCGTGTCTGAGCAAAGCAACCAGCAGGCGGGCTCCTTACCACCCCGTAGGCAATGATGTCCGAGTACATTCTCATCTCGGGGTACACACTGACAAGGTACCACCGGAAGGTCTTGCACTGCAGCTGCTTCCTCAGGGCCTTCCTCGCGGTGATGTCTCCAATGTCGATCCCCGAGTCCTGTACCAAGAGGCAAACACAGGGACGCCGTCACCACTAGGAAGCACCGGCTCCCCAAGCCCTCAGGCAAGACTGCTGGAGACTGTCTTGGGAAGGGACCGTTTGGGCAGTGGACCCCTGCCTTTTCCCACCTGGATCTTAATCCCATCTTATATAACCCCATGAGACTCAGAAAAGTGAGGTAAGCGTGGATGGGAAGGGTTATCAAAGATCTTTGAGATTCAAGATTTTAAATAAAGAGATAAAGAAACGCTGCCGTCTCAGTGTAAACCACACCAAACTCATGGCCACCATTCCAAGTCACTTTATGGCGCTGTCACTGTTACGGGCGATGGCAGTCTTATTATCCTGACAGTAGTCGCATACAACATTGGTCCTTTTGTGACTGCCGGAATTCACTCAGCACAATGTTTTCCAGGGCTGTGCATCTCGTGAGGGGCTTTGTGGTGTCATCCATGCATTTTAAAGGATGCATGATATCACATTGTGCATGCCTATCCCAGTTTATCTATTCTTCTGATGTCAGGTGTCTGGGCTGTTTGAACGTCCTGCTGTTGTGAACAATGCTGTGATGACCACGGGAAAGCATACGCCTATTCCCGTTTTGTCTCTTACGTCCTTGAGGTATCCATCCAGCAAAGATATTGCTGGAGTCTACGGGATTTCTCTTCCCAGTTGCCTTAAGTGGCTCCCACCCACCAGAAGTGGATGAGGGACGGTTCAGTCTCTCCACACCTCTGCAGCATTTGTGTTTTGTTTTTGTTTTTCTTAATTGGGCTGTCATTGTTGGTATAAAATGATATCTCATCATTTTCATTTGCATCTCCTGGATCGCTAGTGATGAGCATTTTTTCATGTTTGTTGGCCATTTGAATTTCATTTTTGGTAAGGTGTTCATGTCTTTGGCCCACTTTTTAAATGGATTCTTGTTTTTCTCTTATTGTGGGATTTCATTCTCGTATAGATTTTAGAGATAATCCCTTGTCCCTTGTGTCATTGCTAAACGTTTTTCCCAGCTCATGGGCTCCTTTAGACTCTTTCGATGGAGTCTTTTCATGCACCCAAGTGTCTTAGTTTAAGCAGGTCGCGGTGATTTATTGTGTCTTCTGTAGTGTGCGATTCTGTCCTTGGAGTTGGCAGTATGGTCACGCTGGGCACCCGGGTCTCGAAGGGTTGTCCTTATTTTCTCATTGATGATCTTCATAGCTCTGGGATTTATTGATCCTTAGGTCTTTCATTGTATGAAAGCACAGGATCCCTTCCTTCTCCACCCAAGGGTGCATCCTGGCACCTTCCTCCTTCCCCAGATCAGGTTTGAACTCTCCCCCTGGGGGTGGAACTCAGGCACTGGGTCTCATCATTTCCCAATGACCTTAACTTACTCAGTTCCCTCCCCTCCACTGGCCTGGATGTCTGTCTGAACACCAGTCGGCCTCAGTGGGGATGAGGTGGCAGGCTTGCTATGGTGGGCAGAGCGAACCGGGCAGGAGCATGGATGCGATTGATTCCAGCCCTTTAGCAGAGGCTGCACATCCACAGGGATTCCCTGCAGAGCCCCTGGGGAATTGCTAAGCATTCTTGAGATTTGGCCATCAGAGGCTTCCCTCCATGGTGCTCAGTAGCCTGCTCGGAGTGCTGTGATCCCATACCCATCGCCACAGACAAGTCCAGAGGCATCAGTTTCCTCACAAACACACCCCTGGTCAGAGATGCCCTCCCGCAGCTGGTTCTTCAGCCGCTGGCTCCTCACTCTTCCTCTCGAAGGCTGAACCCTCAGTGGACCCAGACGTCTACCACCCAAGCAAGCTATCGCCCCTGCCCTTCCCTTCTCCTGGCCTACCATCTCAATCACTTAGCACAATGTCAGCTTGGAAGAGAGTTCAGGGAGCAAGGCCTTCACATGGGAATTTTAAAGAAAGACCAGTTGTTGCTTCTCCATTAGGGAGAGAGAGGGAGCTGAGGTTTTTCTACAGGACTCCCAAGGGGGAGCCATGGCCTTGGGAGGGAAAAAGGAGGTCACGCAGTCAATAGCTTCATCTCAGACAGAACGCAGCATGAGCAGTGAACTCCAGGCAGGCAGGCTGGCATGGCGGTTGGGATCCCGAGGCTGGCATCTGTTGGGTTCTCCCATCTGCGCGGACAGTCTTTTCTGTGTGAAGCACATCGGGGTTGAACTAAACCACTCAAGAAAGATTGCTTGTGTTACGGCATCTCTTAGGTGTCGGCGATTAAAGGACACAGGGCATTGGCAGGCAAAGATGAGCTTCTTAGAGGCTAGAAGCAGCCTAAAGTCCAGAGTAAGTCCTTTCTCCTACTGAGGACCCCGGAGGAACAGTATCCCATGACCACCCGCATGGCTCACGGAATCCCCACACCTAAAAAAAGCAAACCCATCGCTACCCAGCCAGTTCCAACTCACAGCCACTCACAAACATCTGGGCAGTCCTCAGTGCTCTGGGACTGAGGAGGGAAGAGTGGAGGGGGGAAGCTTGAACCCATTTCAGGGGTCGATCCCAGATCCATTGTGTGAGTTTGGTGATTACTGGTGTTTTCATAAGGGGCTCTGGTGGTGTAGTGGGTTACTTGAAGGGTTATTCAAACCCAACACCATAAGGCGGGTGGTTCAAACCCATGAGCCACTCTGTGGGAAGAAGATGAGGCTTTCTGCTCTCATAACAGCTGATAGTCTGGGAAACCCAGAGAGGCAGTTTCACTCTGTCCTATGGGATTGAAATGGGTCCGAACTCACTTGATGGCATGACTTAGGGCCTAGGAATGCTGTGAGTTGCGTAGACTCAAGAGCAGTACGTTTGATAATGTCGACAGTGTGGGTCAGACATGTCAGAGAAGCTGAGCCACCTGGTCCAACGTTCTCATTTACAATGAGGAAACTAAGGGGTGGAGAAGGAGCCCTGGTAGTGTTAAAGCTAAAAGGTGGGAGGTTCGAACCCACCACCCACTCCACGAAAGAACGATGTGCTAGCCTCTTCTGTAAAGATGTACAGTCTTGGAAACCCTATGGGGCAGTTCTACGCTGCTCTAGAGGGCAGCTAGAAGTTGGAATGGACGCAGGCGGCAGTGAGGTTTTTGTTTATAAAGTCCAGAGAAAGAACTCCTTGTTCAAGCAGGCTGCCTGGGGATGGGATTAAGAAATGGCTTGTACCCTCCGCGTCAGCCCTTCTCTCCAACATGTAGCGTCTTTGGGGGTTGGGGGCCCTTCTAGCATGGTAACCAGGACTCTGGATGACTCTTGGAAAGAAGAGTCCACTCCGGTCGTGCTTTTCCCCCCTGCAGAAAATGCCAAGAAAACCTTTCCCACAAGGTATCCTGACCTCCTGGGGTATGTTCCAGGCCATGTAGACATGGCTTTTAAATTCGTCCATCCAGACTTCAGCCACTCGGAGGGCATTTCTGCGGACATGGGCTGTGAGGTCCTCGGTGTAGGGCTTGTGGGCTCGCTCAATGTGGGCAATCCTGGAGCAGGGCAGCACCTCCACGCTCCCGCCACACTGCCATACCTGCGGAAAGACAAGGCTACTAGTCAGTGCTCACTCTTTAACTCTGTGCCCTTGACCTGACCACAGGGGGCACTCAGCATGCATTGAGGAAATCCATTTTCGTCATACTTTCTCCAGTCCACCACCAGCAGAGGGCGTGAACCGCACCTCCATTCTGCTCCTACAGCAAGGTGTTTACTGATCGCTCACCATTATTCCTGTTGCTGCGGGTTTTGCCAGCAGAGATGAAAGCACCTTCTCTTTCTACCTTTCCACGGCTCAACCCTACATCCTCAAAGGATGGCCCGGAGCTGGACATGCTGTGACCAGACCTGTGCTCTCCTTGTCCCTTGGGGGCAGGGGGGAGTTAATGACACTTTGGAGCTCACAACAAAGATGTCCATCTTCAAACAGACCATATGGGTCTGAAGAAGGATTAGTGATCAGCACAGACAGAAGCCAGACACCTTCTCCTATCCCGTCCTTCCCAGACCCAGGGTTCTATAAGAACCTACATCAGAGGAAGGATGTTGAATTTCTCACCAACCTTGGTGAGTAGGAACTTGAACTGGATGTAACTTCATTTTGGAAAATAAAGAAAGGTGACCTTCTGGCATCAGGGGTGCCAAAGAGCAAGGCCTGAGAGTTCTTGCCACATTCATTCCAATCACACTGAAATGTCAATGTTACTGAGCACACATGTCTGTGTGTCTTTCTTTCTACTTCTGGAATATCAGCTCACTGGTTTCCCCACTTGGAAGAGTCCATTTCTCAAGAGCCCAAGCACACAGCTCAATCCTCACGGCAGCAGAGCTACCTTGTTATGAGGCCAGTCTCCTCCATGAACTGCGTGTCTAGAAAGAAAACTCTATCTTATGTAGTTATCATCTCCAGCACCTAACACAACACCCGCACACAGTAGGCACTTCACTTTGTAAATTTTTGTTGAGTGTATAAGTGAATAAAGACAGTTGTTAGTGAGTCAATTCAACAAATGGTCACCCCATTTGCTGTGGATTTTGTGTGCCAATGTGCCAGAGCAGAACTCTGCTCCACCGGGTTTTCCATGGCTAACTTTTGTGGATCACCAGGCTTTTCTTCTGCAATGCTTTGGGTTGGGTTCAAAATGCCCACCTTTTGGTTAGCAGGCCAGTGTATTAACTTTCTGCACCACTCTGGGACTCCAGGTAAAGACATGGTTGATGCTTCCCCAAAACATGAGATGAATTTGAAGATACCTGATAATGATCCAGGCTTCTTGGGAAAAATAATCAAGATCTCCCGGTCTCTAGCACTGGTCACTTGCCAAGCACTGTCCACTTGACTATTTGGCAGATAATGTTCACAGGTTTTACATGCACTCGCCAGTAGCAAAAGGTTTGGGTTAAAGATCGGGTAAACCGTAGATTTTCAGTTTAATCCCCCTTGGTGGTATAATGGGTTACAAGTGAGGCTGCAAACCTCAAGGTCAGCCGTTTGAACCCACCAGTTGCTCCAAGGGAGATGGATGAGGCTTTCTCACCTGTAAATATTTACAGCACAGAGGGCAGTTCTAGCCTGTCTTACAGGGTTGCTATGAGTCAGATTGGACTTGATGGTGGTGAGTTTGGATTTTGACTTGGAGTGTTTCTAACGGAAAGAATTCTTTGCTTCCCTTGGTCTATGTTGTAACAGTTGTTGTCTGTGGGCAGCTGGAGGTAGAAGGCAATACACAGATTTGCCACTAATCTAAGCTTCTCTTACATGTGTTATTTAGAGCCAAAGGGCAGGACAAGAAAAACAAACACACTTTCTCAAGGATGTCCACTATGCGCCAGGCACCGGCTTGCTTGTAGCAGGGGCGATGAGCAAGGGGTTTGGAATCAGCTTACTTAAGTCTAAATCCTGACACTGCCTTATACCAGTTACCGTAATACTGGCTCATCCACGTGGTGTTATTGTACTTCAGCCAGAGGATTAAAGTAACTACGTGCAACGTGCAGAGGAAAGTACCTGGCACCTATGATGAGTTGCCGTCTAATCGGCTTTGACTCATGGGGCCCCCAATCACACGCTTCCGGGTCCTGTGACGACATCCCTACAATTGGCTGTGGATGGAATGATTGTGAATACACAAGGTTACCACTGATTGGTTTTTCAGAAGCAGATTGCCATACTTTTCTTCCACTTTTCTTAGTCTAGAAACTCTGCTGACCTGTTCAACATCAGATTCCCATTTTTACTCGCTGCCATCGACTTGCTGTCGACTCATAGAGACAGGGTAGAACTGCCCCCTGTGAGTTTCTGACACTGTAACTCTTTAGGGGAGTAGAAATCCCGGTCTTTCTCCCCAAGAGCTGGTAGTGGTTACGAACAGCTGACCCTTTGGATCGCAGCCCACTACACAGCCACTACACCACCAGGGCTCCTTTCAACACCATAGCAACCTGCCAAGCTCCACGGAGGGGTGGGTGGTGGCTGTGCAAGAGCTGCCCTGATCCAGGACCAGTGGAGTCTTTTATGGTGAAGGCGAGAATGTTACCACTGAATCATCTATGACTCTGAGCACGTACTGTGGTGGTTGTTAGTTGCCCTTGAGCCAATTTTAACTCATGGCATCCCAGCCTGTGCAGACTGGAACTGTGCTCTGTAGAGTTCAAAGGTTGTGACTTTTAGGAAGCAGATCACCAGACCTATCTTCCAAGGCACCTCTGCACCACCCAGGGACTCTGGCACACCATCTCAGCCAAACCCACTGCCATCGAATCCACTCTGACTCATAGCGACCCTATAGATACATAGGGTGAGTATGTGATTGACAGCACTGAGTCTGGGTAGTTTCGGAGACTGTTAACCTGCAGGTTGCAGACAGCTTCATCATGTGGAGCAGCTGATGCATTTGAACTGCTGACCATGCAGTTAGGAGCCCAGTGCCTAACCCACAGCACTGAGAGGACTCAATCCCAGCTACTATGAGACACATTATATATGCAGTGGGATCTTCCAACTATGTGAGGGAGGTGTTACCCTATCCAGTTTCAAATAGAGAAACTAAGGCTAAAAAGATGCCCTGGACACCAAAGCACACAGCTAGCTAGTCAGGAAGACGGAGCTGTCTGGCCACCAGAGAAACCCCAAGAGGCAAACGCTCCCCTCTAGGTGACCTCGGTTTGAAACTCGTCACGGCTGGAAGAGGCGGCTGTCAGGAGCCGCGAGGAGGCCCATGAAAGCCCATGTGGGCCCCTTCATTCCCATGACCCACCAATTCTGGGGAGCATGCTGAATGACAGCTCATTCTGCTCCACCTTTCGATGGAAGCCTGCGAATCCGTGAACAGGTTACTGACAACCCAAAGGGTCTGGGTCAGGTTTATGCAGAGGCAACACAGGCTACGACGGGACATAGTTCAACCATACCACACAGAACAGGAGCCACAATCAAGCTCTTTTATGACGAGGCCTCTTTCTTAACGAGCTGCTTCACCATTCCATCCTGTCACTCCAGGGAGAACGGGTCAGCAGCACCGCCCAGCGCAGTGCACAGACACGGAGCACCAGGCCCTGTGTGGCTTCCCGGCTAAGCTCCCCTGTGTCTGCAGCACCGCATCCCCACATCCAGACCACCCTCCTCTCTTCTCTCAACACCCCCGCAGCATCTACACAGCCGCTCTCGCCCCCCCCCCCTTCTCTTCTTCGCACAACAGCCCGAGTGAGCTTGTAAAGGTGTGCTTTGCATCACATCCGCCACCTGCACTGAGCCCCAAGGCCCCTCAGGACCAGGCTTCCTGTCCAACTTTCTAACCTAGACTTCTCTGACACTCAACAGGTCTGTCCTACGGCCCCCTTGACCCTCCAGTCCTCTCACACGCCACGTGTCCTCTCCCAGTTGGACTTGGCAATTATCCACTCCCTCACCCACCTGCCTTCCCCTGACTCCTCCTCCTGATGTCGGCTTAGCATCACGCTGCTGGCCCCCTTCAACTAAATGAGGTGCCTGCCCAGCCTTCCCCTGATCAAAGCACTATTCCAATGGCTTGGTCAATCAATTCATACACTCTTTCAAGATGCTGCCCACATTGCCACCATGTTCTCCTTTAGACATACGTCAAAGTAGTGCCCAGAGTCCTTTTTCCCGTAGTGGTGGGGCACCCGGGCGGAGTGGCAGCAGCATGGTGTGCTTAACAAGTGCAGCTTAGCGCCCAAGAGCGTGGGCTCAGACTTGACTTCTGATGCTGGCTGGCTGTGGCATCAGCCTGGGAAGATAGGCTCTCATGCATGCCGAGTCTCCGTTTCTCTCTCGGTGAACCAGGAGGGCAGCTCACGCATGCGTTTTTAACACAGTGTCTGCCTCCATCAGAGTGGTCGTTGGTGAAGTGGCCTCCATGCGGACTTGGACACAGGCCACCCTGTTCAGCTCTGACCCACCATGGGCCAGCTTCATGGTGACTTTGGGACATTAAGCTCTCACTTATGAAACATGTCTGATAGTGATTATATCACAGGGCTGTGGACTGTGGGCTGCAGGCAGCCTGTGATGCATTGCCTGGAGCTTTGGAAGCCCCCAGTCTGTCCTCACATTGTCATGACTTAATCATTATTACAATAGCTACATTCTGCTTCTCTGGTATATCCACCCACCTTCAGGAAGCAGGTGGGCCACAGAAAACTCAAGGGTCTGGCTCACAGCCATCAGGCTGGCCCCTTTTGGAGTGGCTGGTCTAGACGGGTTTGGCACATGAGCGTTCCTCCCCAGGGACTGGGAAGCCTGTTGCTGTAGAGCGCACGGCCCCTTGCCTCTCTTCGGTGGGAAGTAACTCATCTATGAAGATGGTACGACAGCATCTGCCTTGGATACAGCAGTTGGGTCCTTGGCAGGTTCGGGACCAGAAGGTGCAGCCACGGGATGCCTAGCCCCACCCTTGCCGGGGCCCTGCCAAACCACTGGAAGGAACAGGAGAAACCCTGTGGTTTCTGATCAAGGGGTAATGAGCTGCCGCACTGACCAGCCGACGGCACAAGCGAGCGCCTCACAAGCCTGAGCCA